ATTGTTCATATTGCAAGAACATATTCTTCTGCTCGCTGGCACCCAAAACCCCTTTTGCACGCCGTTGTTCCCAAGCCCTTTGCACAGCCGCACAAATATTCTCTCCCCCCTGGTACTTGCACTCAACCCTAAGAAAAGAAAACACGGAGGTATTTATAAACCTCAAGTCAGGTCACATCGGGTGGGCCCTGTACGCTCTCTTCACGAGAGTTTCTCAGCAGCACATCTCCTCACGCGTCTACTGGCCCCCACACCCCACTCACAAAACTTCCGTGTTCACAATTCTCCACCTCGGTGAAGTTTTCTCAAAACTGAGCCAACACCGACCAAACCAAATATCTCACTTGTTGTGTCCAGTACGAAGTGAAACAATTCACGACAATGGACTCAATCCATAACAAGTCGAGAACCCAAATGAGAATGCAAACACACTCCAAATGTCAGTATCAACTCACCAAATCAATCTCACCCCCATCAAAATCCAAACCGGCTGCATCATAAAGACTGCCTATGTATCCTCTTGCCAAACCGGCTGCATCATAAAGACTGCCTATGTATCCTCTTGCCCAAGGAATCAAGCCGAACGTAGTTCACTCAAATGGCCTTCAAAGACCTCAATTCACTAGAAGAGTTCGCAACCCTTCTCCAATATCATCAACTCTGCGGCTGATAGCACCTCCAATGGCCTCAAACACCTCCACCTGAGGTGAACCAATGGTCATATCCAAACTGCATCTATCAGCTGCACTCGAGTCAAAACCCAACTCATCATCTGTATCCGAATCCAAATGACTTCCACGCTGTGTCACCTCAGCTGGAATCCCAACAAATGCAGAATGACCTGGAGTATGTGGGAAAATCCCCACCCAATGTGGAGTAGCATCAGTCTCCACCCGCTGCGATACCTCTAAGGTCTGTCAAAAACTCTCCACATGCTGAGAGTCAATTAGCTCTCTCATCGAAGCCTCAACCAAAGTTACACTACCAGACCTATCTTCTAATGAAGTTTTACCTCCAATCACAGCAGTTGACAACTCTATAATAGGATGACCCAAATATGTCGAAGCCTCAGTCCAGAAACTCTTCTGCAAACCATTGCTCGACCACAAACACCGATCCTCCTCCAGTAAGGCACGGTTCTCCAAATTTGTCACCCTATTTAGTTGCCCCAAGATTTCCTTTCCAACGAAGTATCTCGAAATGCCGTGAGCTCGGCTCCAATGCAGAAACAGGTCCATCTTGTACCTCCCACCAGAATGGAGTACCTTCACCTTTCTGTCTATTACACACTTCTTCAATCTGTTGGATACTACTAGGACTTTCTCCAAAGGGGATTTAGTTGCAACCCAAACACGCCTAGAACAGTCACCAATAAAAGGAAATCAAACGTCTATTACCTCCCAATGATGCCCCCTTAGAAGGCCCCCAAACATCCACGTGAACTCCTCTAGAACGACCCTTAGCACGGTGAATAGAGGTGCCAAACTTCACCTCGGTCTTCTTGCTCACATCAACATGTTCACTGGACTTCAAACCGCAGGTCTTCGCACCCTCTTTCAATCTATGCGATGAATCAATACTGGAATGGTCAAGCCCCAAATACCACAGTCTAGTCGAATCAATAGAAGTCGTCAGCTCTTCACCTGCCACTATACCTCCAGCCAAGTAATACAGGTTATTCCTCCTGACACCCTTCATCAAAATACGAGAGTCTCTCGCAATCTCGAGAACCATGTCCTCAACACGAACCTTCAGACCCTCTCCAACCAAAGCTCCAATCGAGATCAAGTTCTTCCTCAAAGAAGGAACACATCTCACATCATTTATCTCCCTAACAGTCCCGTCAAACATTTTTATACGAATTCTTCCTATCCCAAGGATCTGACATGCACGGTTATCAGCCATGTACACCACACCACTATCTACCAGCTTCTCAAAACTGGAGAACCATTTCCTTCTAGGGCACACATGATAGGTCGCACCACTATCCAACATCCATTCAGATTCCTCCGAATAGCTATCTGTAGGACTGATAGAAAGTGAATAAATAGAAGAGTCGGAATTATTACCATCCGATACGATATTTGCTTCTGATGATGGCTGCTTCCCTTTTCCCTTCTGCTTATTCTTCATCCATTCGTCGAGCTTTGGGCAGTCTTTCTTCCAATGACCAGTCTCCTTGCACCAAGCACACTGATCTTTTCCTACTCTAGACTGTGACTTCCAATTCTTTCGGTTTGGACCCTTCCCTCTTGCGAAACAGGTAGTTTTCACAAACGAAAATTGTTTTTCCAAAAATTCCTTTTCAAACATGTTTATTTCATCATTTAGAAACTTTCCCCAAAGTTTCACTATTTTTGGATATGAATTGATATTTTTTTAACGAATTTTCAAAACTGCCCAAAACCTGTCAGTATTACCTATATCAGTTTTCGGTCGACCGATCCGGTCGACTGATCCGGTCGACCGACAGTGGTCTGTTGAGCTCATACTCGCGGTCGACCGAGAGAAAATCCGGTCGACCGAAAATTCTGTCGGTCGACCGCCAAGCTCCAAACCCTCATTGTCGATGTTTTTGAACTTAGCGGTCGACCGGATCGGTCGACCGACGAGCTGTCAGAACCTTTCTAACGGCTAGTTTTTCTAACCGTTTTCAAACTGGGTTTTTGGTCTTTTAACTATTGTTTACTGTTATTTTGGGATACTATATATATCCCATTCCTGTGTATCCTCTCTAGAACCCAGAAATCCAAATTTGTGTTTAAACAAAATTCCTAAGTGTGTTTAAAAGCTGTTTAAGGTTGATTTCATCAATCTGTTTTCAAGAAAAGTTTTTCATCAACAAGAAGTGGCCTCCAAATCCCATTGGGATCATCCTCTACTGTTCTTCTTGCTTGAGAAGTTTTCTAAACTCTTATATAGCTTGTTATTTCACTTTTATTTCATTTAGCCATAATTATTGAGTTTCATTCACTATTATTACACACATATTAGAGCTTAGTATTTTCATACTATATAGTGTGGGTTGTGGGGTGTGATTTAGTGAGTGTGAGCTTCATTGTGTTCTCACTTGTTAATTGAGAACAAATCATTGTATTTAACTTTTAATTTGTGAGAATCACTTGTAATACACTTGTACACCGAGAGAAGTGTGAGGCGAGAGACGGGGTCGAATCCAATAGGAGTGGCGTCGGTTGACAAACCTAGGAAGAGGTTGCATCCGAGCACTTAAGGAGGAGGACACGGGCTAGGTTCCTACACTTAGTATATAAAGTGTGATTAATTAGTGATTGTGTAGTGTGAGAGTTTTCGGTGAACTTGTAAACCTAGAAGTTCCGGCTTCTAAACCGGATTGTGATAGTGGATATCTCCTCGAGGTGAGGAGCGGGGACGTAGGTCGTGGGGGACCGAACCTCGTAAACATATCGTGTGTTTGTGTTTTGCTTGTCTCATATTTTATTTGTGCATAATCTCATTGTTCTTATTGTTCATATTGCAAGAACATATTCTTCTGCTCGCTAGCACCCAAAACCCCTTTTGCACGCCGCTGTTCCCAAGCCCTTTGCACAGCCGTACAAATATTCTCTCCCCCCTGGTACTTGCACTCAACCCTAAGAAAAGAAAACACGGAGGTATTTATAAACCTTAAGTCGGGTCACATCGGGTGGGCCCTGTACGCTCTCTTCACGAGAGTTTCTCAGCAGCACATCTCCTCACGCGTCTACTGGCCCCCACACCCCACTCACAAAACTTCCGTGTTCACAGATGTATCATTACCTTCAAACATAAAACCGTTTATTTACAGTTGACTATTGTGATTCATTCTGAGCGAAAAGTTAGAATAAATTCAATACACAATGATATGATGAGCACTAAAATTTGAATAACAATTATTTTTTTGCTAACGGATGATTATGATTAAAAATATCGGTCTCTATTACTTTTTAACAAGTCAAAGAATTCAAATCTAGAGTAGCACACTTTGAGCTTGGACTGCACCGTGCTGCATTCGGTTTGGGTCATTCCACGTGCCTCGAAATCATCGAAGATAGAGGATACTAAAATTACTAAAATCTATTGAGTTGGAGAGATGAGATCAAAATCCTTTTTTTTAACTTAGGTGGGTTGGGGCGGGGGGCATGTTTGCTATATTCACTCCCAAACAGTAACTTTGGGAGTTGGATTGCCGAAAATACCCTTTTAGACTTGGCCTGGTTTGGTTTGGGAGAAGGACAATTTAGTCCTTACACACCCCCAAAGTTACTGTTTAAAAGTGTGAATAGTTGGACCGTTGGTGGGGCGTGGGATGAGTTGTTGAGATCTTAGCTCTCCTAACGGATGAATTTAAAGCGCTCTCTTCTGTTTGATTTCATAGTTGATCAGTTTAATATGGGTGAAAGTCTCAACCCTATCCATAAAAGCCTATTCGGCTACTCATGAGTCATACGTTCATGATGCACAAACTCTAAGACGTCTGTTTTGCTCAACATCACACAAACCACGCGTCATTCATATCAAAGTTTTAATGTGTCACAAATTATCTAAAAAATTCAAATTTGACATGGGCTTTGTTAAAAAATAAATAAAAATCATATGTAATAGCTAACGATCCGTGTGTTTGTTAGGATAAATATCTATATCTGATAGGATATGATCACGAATATGAGATTGTAGTGAACTTTTTTTGGGGTTTGATGATCAAGAAATCTAATTATATTCAAAAGTGTGTGTGTGTCTATTCATATCTAATTTTACCGAATTTGAAACTAAATTTTTCTTACTCAGATATCTTATCTATAAGCAGATATGAAAATGATAGATAATACATCCGAGTTGTATCCGAACAGTTTGCACCCCTAATTGCAACTCACAAAAGGGTCATTCCTGTAATTCACTGTTTTCACCGTCCTTCAGAGGAAAGATGCAGCTCATTCCAATTCCGACCGTTCCTTAACAAAGAAAAAGAAAAGAAAAGAAAAGAAAAGAAAAAAAACTAAAAAGGAAAAATAAAAGAAACTAAAAAAAATTCCCACTTTTATTAGCACGCAAAATTCCAGCATAATGAACCCCTAAAGGCCAAAAATTCAATTCCACCGACCCCTCAAATACTCTAATGGTCTTTCCTTCTTGGTTTCTCCTCTCTTTAAGAGGGCCGAAAGATTTTTAAAGGAAAAAGCTTGCATTTTCAGAAAAAAAGAAAGCTTTTTTGAGGAATGACATCGATCTTTAGAATTCTATCCTTTGTTTTCCTCCTCCTTGTTGTTTCGTTATCTCAGGTTGATGCTAAGTTCGATGTCTCAGGTACCTGGGGGAAAAAAAATCTTTTTTAAAAAAAATTTCTCAATTATTTTAGGAGGCGGGATTGTTTTGTTTCCTTTATGGCACATTTTAATAAAGAATTATTTGTTGTTTATTGCATTCTGATATGGGCTCTAAATGTAGGTTATTGTTTTTATATTCAGCCCCTTTTGTTTTAATGATATAGTCATTGTTTTATTTAGTTTTATGGTAAATTTTAGGGAGAAATGGATTATCTCTGCTTACCTTGAAATGGGTTGATATAAGTTGATGTTGTTTTTTTTTTGAAGTTTTGGGGTTACTCAATTTTTTATAAGTGGGTATTTTATATTGACAAATACTGGATTTCCTATGACCATGAATTTTCTGTAGGGTATGGTTTTTATAGTATTATTATGAGTAGCATATACGAGAAGAGGAATCAGGGTTCTTGTTTTATTCGCCGAAGTGATACCTTAAGCTAGAATTTTTTTTTTTTCCCTGAGATGGAATTTAGACATTAAGAAAGACCTAATGGAAAGAAGTGTAGTACCTTAAATTTGCTGTTTTCTCCCTCTTGTGCGCATGTAAGTGTTAGAAACTTCGATTTTGATTCAAAAATTACTTTTTGTTATTAACAGAACAATGACATTTTCGTTTCGCTTTTATACGCATATATATAATTAAAGTTTTCCCTTGCGTTATGTAGGAAACAATGAGTTGGTCGAATCAAGGAGGTCATTTGCTGAATTGCCTTCACCACCCGGGCCTTTGGTCGCCAATTCCTCTTTCATATTAGCCGCCGAGAGGACGAACAGGAAAGACCCTTTGAATGGATATGCTCATTACACTGGCGGCTGGAATATAAGTGAAACACACTACTGGGCTGTGAGATTTTAATTCCATGCGCTTATCATGTCCTTCACTTCCTTCGTAGTTCTGTTCAATTATCTTTCTCATGTGATTATTTAATATCTTTGACAGTCTGTGGGTTATACTGCATTTCCCGCCTTTATCGTCGCCATTGTATGGTTTGCTGGCTTTGGCTTGGTCTTGCTTCTCATATGCTGCTGTTATTGTTGCTGTAGACGAAGATCTTACTCTTATTCTCGAACTTGTTATGCTCTCTCCCTTGTCTTCCTCATTTTATTCACTATTGCTGCCATGTAAGCTTGTTATGTATTCGATTCTTAAGATTATGGGTTAATTGAGGATTGACCCCTGTACTATCGCCCAGTTGTGTATACTCCCCTGTAGTTCTATAATTCTATTGTTGCAGATTGATCTCCTTAACTATCGCTCAATTATGGATAGACCTCTTTAGTGAGTTTCGATTATTTTACTCTCAGGAGGTATATTTGTCAAAAAACAATTCTCTTTTCTGAGAGTAAAAGGATTCTTTTTCCACTCACTTGGGGCGTCTATATGCAACAATGCAGCAACATGGATCTACCGCAATTGGGCGGAGCAGTTTTGTCGTTGATTAACCCAAAATTTATTTCTTATTATTCAAATGGGGTTTGTTTCATTAATAAAATTGATTTTTTGTGTGATATTTCCAGTGCTGGAAGCTGTATTTTGTACATAGGTCAGGGAAAATTCCACAACAGCACCTCAGGGACTTTGGATTATGTAGAGCACCAAGCAAATTTCACAGCGGACAACCTCAAAAATTTCTCAAGCAGTTTGGCTGCTGCTAAAAATATTGATGTGAACCATATTTTCCTTCCAGCTGATGTACAAGGCAGAATTGATTCCATCCAAAAGAAGCTTAATTCATCAGCAAACGAACTGTCCACTCGGGCATCAAGCAATTTGGATAAAATTGATGATGTCTTGGATACTGTGTATGAAAAGCTTTAATGTTTTAATTTTTTAAATATTGCAACCATTTTTACTGGATACTTCTCCGTTACAGGCAATTGCTCTTGATCATAGTTGCTTCTGTGATGCTTGTCTTAGCATTTCTTGGATTAGGTATGTATACACACTATAAAGTTCCACGGAATCTACTTTATACTTGCGTTTGGTAAAAAATGATATGTCTGTGCTTACTTCCCTGTTTACTCTTCCCTTTCCTTGTGCAGTGTTATCCGTACTTGGACTACAATTTCTAGTCTACATGTATGTTACCCTCTTTTTGTTTCACGTAAGTGCATTTATTGTTTCCTTTTCTCATCAACTTTGCTATTGACTTTCTGCAGATTGGTTATCATTGGGTGGATTCTTGTTGCGGGTACATTCATATTGTGTGGAATTGCTCTTCTTTTTCACAAGTAAGTTGCAAAATGTTTCATTGTGCTCAATTTGTATATTTAGGTAGTATGTTTAGCTAAGTACCGAATACAATTGCATATTGTCTTCTAATGTTTTAGCTGTGAAAATTATGTTTATATCACACTGGATGAATGAAGTGGTGTCCCTTAAATATTAGAAATAAAATCATGTTAGAATACCATGCACAATCATCAAAGTTTGTCTTGATTCCTAGGTCTGCCTCAACTTAGACTAGTTTTTCTTTTCCTTCTATTTCACATCTGTCTATGTGTTAATATGATTAAAACCAAACCACACTGCCACTGGTAAGTGCATGAACATGCCTCAATCCAGAATGGGCCTTTCAGTGTCTATGCCTGTTCTAGAAAATTGCTTCTGCTCCTGCTTTCTCTGTTTTAAGTACACTTGTGTTTTTGACCAAACTTCCTTTATTACGACACATTGCTCTTGTTTTTGTTTTTTAATTATAAATGTGTATATTTGGGAGTTTTGTTTTCTTAAATGTTTATATAGTGGGCAAATTTGTAATCTGAAAGATGTTTTTTCTAGAAAGTAGAAATTCATCAGACAAGGATTAAGATCGTCGTACACGCTCTTGATTGTCATCATTTATCATGACCTTGTCCATCAATTTAAGACGAGCTTTCAGTTGTTTACTTGATAAATCTTCTAAGTTCTAATTTTCACCGGTACCAAATGTCATATCTTCTATGGTGCGTTTCTATATATATTAATTAAGTCATATTTGTGGTTGCTTTCATGAAGGCTGAAAAGAGTATTTTCATACTTATGAAAAATATTTAGTCACGGGAAAAATATTTAGTCATGGGAGAGGATTTCCATATTTATTTTTGATCTCCAGTAGTTTTATGACTGTGATGACTTTTTATTTCTCACCTTTAAAAATTTGTTATCAAATTTCAAAGTTTCTAATCTATCGACCATTTCACATGATGAATATTTTATATAAGAAGATTCATAGTAAACACGATCATTGAAGCCTCATCATACATCTATTTCATGGTTGTTTGAGACTTCGTAGGGATTTGGGCATTTTTTTTACTTTGATTCCTTCACTTGCTACATAATTATATATTTTCAAGTTTGACCCATGTGCTTCTTCCTACTTTACTTCGGAAAGGAACTTGATATCAGACCCTTTATGGAGATGACGTTCTCTGTGTCTAATTATTAGGAAACAGGTTTCCACTACATGCATGGCCTTCCTTTCTAGCTTTCTACATTCCCTAACAGCAGATGGTCAACTTTCCATCTTTAGGAGATGACACCAAATCCCTTCTGAATTTCTCTTCATATTTGAAGGTCATGCTTAAGAATGTGTGTTACCTAAGCATAACCATCATCATAATCTTTGATGAGATTTTCTTTTCCATGCTTTACTTAAATTTTCATGATATGCAATTCTCATTTGAGGGGAAATTTGGTGTACTTGCATGTTTATATATGCACACTGCAGACTCTTTATATTAGAAAAATTCTTCCAGCATACATGTCTACATGTTCAATACTTCATTCAGGATCATCAACTCTTTTCGAGATTTGATTTCTCAAAAGAGAAAAAAATAATGAAATTTTGTAAACATGTCAATTGAAATTCTGGGATCTCCACAGTATACAAGGTATTTTGTGCTCTTCATCATTTTGTTAAGCATAAGTTAACTTGTCGAAAATTTTACATTGTTGCAAGTTGAAAGCAACACTTAAGTTGTCCTGCAAAATGTCCTGTACACTCTTATTTTATAGAATTGTTTGGTTTTAATTATTAAGGTTGCTCACAGTGATCCTCTTCCCTGGGTAAGGAAGAACCTCCTCCAGTTTGTTGAAGGCAAGCCTTGAAACTGTGTCTTTATCTTATCACAAGCAAATGCTTCACTAAAAATCCTTCTCTAATTTCCTCTTTCTTTATTTGAATTAGTAGTTCTAAAATATATCAAAGAGCAGTTTGCAACCATTTAGACGTCAGCTCCTGAAATTAACTTGTAAATATATTTTTCATAGATGGGAAAGGAGGTAGACCTAAGCGAATTTGGTCGTAAGTAGATAAGAAGGATATGATAATAATTAACATAGATGGAGGAGACTGCCATCGCGGAACTGAATGGAAGAATAGGATTCATTTAGCCATCGCAAAAAGCTTGGGATAATTTTTTTTGTTGCTGATTTGACCGTAAACTAGATATATTGATGCCTCCACAGAACAAAGTCTAATTAGCCCCACACTATATGCCACTTTTTTAAGTAGCTCCTATATGTTTTATTTCTTGCAAATCAGCCCTGGAAGTTTCATTTTGTCTTCTTTCTTAGATCATGGCTGTGAACATTTGAAAAAATGTGTCCATTGTTGATTCTGACAAGGGCACACTTGCCAGTCGAACTAAAATATAACTAATATACTCACTAAGAGGAGAGTTTCCTCCAAAAAAGCATTAGAATTAGAATCTCGCAACAATACTTCTAACCCGTTGAGGTTTCCTGACGATGGTGTAAGAAAGAAGATGGAATGAAAAGTTGAGAGCTGATTTGCAAAAAATAAAGACATAGGTGTTACGTAGAACTCAGGGGTCGATTGGACTATTTTTCTCTCTCAATGCCTCTTTGCTATATTACCTTTTTTAATTCTAAGATCTGATGGGAGTTAGAAAATCTTCTTCTTTTGGATAATTATATCATGGCTTTGCCTGTAGCATAGAAATGTTGCAGTTCTCGTTCTTTTTGCATTCTATGATTAAGATACATCTTCATTGTTATTATCAGTGTGGTGGCAGACACATGTGTGGCAATGGATGAATGGGTTGCTCACCCTCAAGCACAAACTGCCCTAGACGACATCCTTCCCTGCGTTGACGCCGCAACTGTTGGTGAATCTATGAACCGAAGCAGAGAAGTCACATTTCAGCTAGTAAATATTGTGAATCAAGCTATCCTCAATATTTCCAATGGAGACTTTCCTCCTGTGGTTCCTCCGCCTGTCAACTATAACCAGTCCGGTCCAAAGGTGCCTCCTCTTTGCAGCCCATACTTACCAGACATGAGTAATCGCACATGCCTTTCTGGAGAGGTCAACTTTGATAATGCATCCCAGGTAAATAACTATATTCTTCCTAAAGGTAATTTTAGCAACTTCACATGCAAAGGGTTAACTGCAGAACCCCTGTACCCTGGCTCAGTTGCGGACAGGCCCCCTGTAGTTCTATTGTTGCAGATAGACCCCTGACTAGATTTTATTTTGATTCTTTTATACTCAGGAGTCAGGAAACGATAGAAGTACAGGGGGTCTATGTGCAACTGGGCAATAATACAGAGGGTCTAACTGCTATTAACCCAATAAAAAGGAAATATTGCATGGTTAGATTAGCAAGTAGTGTTGTGATATACCATGAATTTCCGGTAGGTTTAACCTATTTGTCTTCCTAATTATTTCTTAGTTCTTATAATTTATGTGTACATGTTTACCACTGTCATCATCGTTATTTCATCTACATCTTTTCCCCATCAAGGTCGGTGTCAACTTTAACACGTAAAGCTCTTCAGAGTGTCTGGCTTCAAGAGACCTGCAATAGGACTAATCCATATATAGAAGCCTACTAACTTATTATGTTTCATAAAGCACAGATTAGTCCTTACTCCTTAGAGTTCCCATAAACCAAGAAGATTAGAAGATAATGTAGTAAGGCTTGTTGTAGAGAGTTGTATTTACTATTTACAAGACAGATTAGTGCAAGTTAAGAAACTAAAGAAGATCAAATTTCCACACAAAATTACCAATGCTAGAAGTGTCAAAATATAAAAAGGCTGGTTATACAATCAGTTGATAATGTGACAATAGTATGTAATATGAACAAGAATACACTGAATTGGTTATATGAGGATTATGATGATAGAAGCCTTGATTCTTTAACTAATAACCTAACAACAAGCATAAGTATTTAATACGGTCTACAATACAGGTATGGCAAGGATTTGTTTGCCAAACTAAACTTGTCAACGGGAACGAGGTTTGTACCACACCAGGCAGGCTCACTCCAAGCTTATACAACCAATTTATCGCTTCTATCAAAGTGAGCAGTGGTCTCTACCACTACTCACCGTTCCTTGCTCAGCTGGCAGACTGCACTTTTGTTCGCGAAACATTCGCACATATTACTACGGAAGATTGCCCTGGGCTCACCCGATACAGCAAATGGGTTTACTCGGGCCTCGCGTTGGTTTCTGCTGCTGTGATGCTTTCGCTTGTTTTCTGGGTCATTTATGCGAGGGAGAGGAGGCACCGGAAGTACAATAAGCAGTTCATTGTTCAGTCAGAGCAGCAGCCTTTGGGGGGACACGATAAGGTCTGAAGAAATGTGATGTATTCTGATTTCTTATAAGCTCTCGGAATTGCGCACCTATGTTATTGGGTATCCTGATCTGCTTAGTCTTTGATTATAATGCGTTGCTTGTTTGTTGGCAGTCATGAGTGCGATTGCTTCAACGGAGATTCTGGAGAAGATCCTTTGATATCTGTAAGTAGCAGTGAGGTATACTGGGAAATTAACGCTGTCGGGGGGATGAAAGTATTACACAATGCATTATATATCGTGCTGAGTTGTTCTGTATGAAGTTCATGGGATCTTCTTTGGAGTGAACTTGCACGTTTCTATTGGCAAAACCGTGTGAGTTGAGCCGTGGGCGATGGAAAAAGTATCATGTTTGCATGCTTTATATCCGTTCTGATATGAAAAGATGTTACTAGCTGTGGTTTTCTACATTTGATCTGGTAAAGATGAATACATAACAGAAAAAAATGCTACTTTTTTTGCCTATATACCCCCAAAATCCATACTATTTGCAGGTTTATCCCCCAAATCTGCATGTTCACTGACACCCCTTCCATCATCCCTCGTTGGATTCTTTTTTATAGCCCTCTCATTTAACAATATAAAATTCGTAGGGGTAGATAACAAATATGCAGATTCGGGGTTAAATTTGCAAATGCATTAGACTTGAGACATGCATACGACAAAGCTACATTTTAGAGCATGTTTGCTATATCCACTCCCAAACAGTAATTTTGGGAGTTGGATTGCCGAAAATGTCATTTTGATGTTGAGGGTGTTTTTGGAATGGACTTGGCCTGTTTTGGTTTGGGAGAAAGACAATTTAGTCCTCACGCACCCCCAAAGTTACTGTTTGGGAGTGTGAATAGTTGGATCCATTTTAGAGGGATACGTCTACTATCATAGTTTTTAACATTTCCTAGTTTGAAATTTACCTGTTTTAAATTAATAAAAGGGGGGCTCATTGTGAAAAAGTGTAGTGGCAAATTGGCAAATATTCAGAGTCAGAGTCACATAGGTTTTATTTGGAAATTTTGACATTGAATTGACATATGCCTCTCGTATCCTAATTACGGTCTCTTTCAGTTTGATAGATGTCCTTAGCTTGGCAAACTGTATCAGAATTCGGAAAGCTCAGCCTTTAGAGAATGCTTTCGTGTGAGAGAGGAGGATACCATGAATACAAAGAGAACCAACAGTAGAAGACACCAGAAGTAATAATATCTCTCTTTAAAGTATAGCTTTCAATATTTAAACGTAACATTTTACAGCCAACTACCCTTCTGTTTAAAGATCAGGGGGGGAAACCTCTAAACATCCGTATACTAGTAAAAATATCTAGGGAGATATTTTATTTATATTTAGATATCATACTCCCTTTACTAAAAGTGGGAGTTTAGAAAAAACTTTTCATGGACAAAAGTACCCTTGATTCTTTTAGATGTTACGATATTATTCTATCATTATTTTCCTAATTAACTCTAATTAATAAGTATAAGCTTCAATTATCCTATCATATCCTAATTAATACGTATATAAGCTAATATTTGATTTAAGTGTATTAAAATTATATTTTTTTTTGAAATTATATAAAAATTATATTAATTTATGGATAATTGTTCAACCTCCACATTAAGCCACTTCTCTCGAAATTATAAAATATCATATCATACTCTCTTTAAAAGTAGGAGTTTGGTAAAAACTTTTCATAGATATTACATTATTGTTCTATCATTCTTATCCTAATTAACTCTAATTAACAAATATAGGCTTCAATTATCCTATCCTACCCCAATTAATATGTATATAAGCTAAGATTTGATTTAAGTATATTAAATTTTGTATTTTTTGAAATTATATTAAGTTATAGGTAATTGTTCATCCTTCACATTCAGCCACTTGTCTACAAATTACAAAATAAAAAATCTAAGAAATTACAGTATTTATTTACAATTTTTTTTCCAGGAAACCACCCATAATTTAGATCTTACTTCACATTAGTACTCTTAATTACTTAAGTTTCGCAAAACCGCCCCTAACTACTATTTCACTAACATAGAACCACTCATACCCTTTTCCATCCAATTTTCTATCCATAAATTAATATTTGACAGTTTACCCCTATAGGTTTAATTTTTTTAATTTGGGTATCAAAATTAAACTTTGGATATCAAAGTTAGTTGTTTTATTTTTTGTCAATCAAAATTATATTTTATTTAAATTTTGTATAGCAAGATCAAATTTTATTGAATTTGTAACAAAGTTAAATTTTGTTAAATTTTGTCAATCAAAATTGAATTATATTGGGAAATTTTCTGAATATTGAGTAATTAAGGGTGGTAATGTGAAATAGGACCTAAGTTAAGGGTGGTTACCTAGAAAAAATATTATTTATTTACTAGAAAAAATAGAGAAGGATTTAAAACTTTGACAATCTAAAGATTTAAACTTGGTACCTAACATATAAAAAGTAGAACTTTTTATTTTATCATTTATTATTTTATATTTAAATTTTAAAATAAAAATAAAAATTAGATGCTATTATAAAATATTCTAACCTCCTAAATCATCTTCATAATCAAGGAGAAAAATATTAATTATGTGTGAGTGACCAAGCTAGAAAACATTCAAAATCTATGGAATTCATACAACTCGTAGAAATACTCAAAAAGTATAATTTGAAGATTTACAAGAAAATCAATTTACAAAATTAGCAGAAATGCCTAAAATACTTTTAGAACTTGTATATTTAGATCAAAACCCCAAAGACTTAATTTAAAGTATTAAAAATTTTACAGAAAAATTCTATATTTTACGAAATATGTAGAAAATTATAGATTTTACAAAATTTGGAAAAAAAATCCAAAATAATTTCATACATGTCAAATTATTCTAATGAATAGAAATATCTTTAACATGATTTCATTATGATCATGCTCTAATTAATTAAAATATCATACTCCCTTTATAAGAGGGAGTATGGGTACGCCTAAACCTTATTTATATTATACATTCTAAACCTAATTAAATTAAACTAAATTAAATTAATAAAACTAAGGACTCATTATTTTGTAACCTTTGTCGGTTCATCTCCACATCTACTCCAAAATCTATTTCTCTTCTCTTTCAACGCTCAATCCCCTTACATTTTTATCTAAAAAAAGTTCAAATATGAGTCCTCTCTCAATCCACCTGAAAATTGACTATAAATAGCTCCTACTCTCAAATCCCAATAATATGTCAATGATTTTTTTAATAGTACATCAATTTGTATCAAGCACATTGCTCACATCCATTTTCTTCTTTAATGCCGGTTTAATAGTAAGTTTCAAATTTTCTTATATTTTTGGGAGATGTAAGATAAGTGAGATTTTATGGTCTCTCAATTTCCCTAATTTACAACTACATACAAACGCATCAAGACACCAAGATATTTTAGAAGCCACCAAATTTTCTTGAATACTTTCAATTTTTTTGGGATAATAATTTGCAAATGACCATACTATATATAATTTATATATAATTATTAATTAATATGTACATGTCATATATATTTATTTAATTTTTTACACTGTATTAAATATTATTCTGAACTTATATGTACATGGATTACATGTCCTATTATACTAGGAATCCTTCTACACAATTGATTTTCTTTTTTTGGGAAATTCTTAATAGCATTCGTGATCTTGCTTGATCTCAAATAACATTGTTTACTAAATTTAGGTAGTCTTATAAATTCCACAAATTTTTTTTGAAGATAAAATATAGAGTTTAATAAAAACACATTTTTAGATTTAGTATTTAACCCCTATTTCCGTCAATATTCTTTTTCAGTTAGAAAATCCATATTGGGAATAATTATTCATCTTGTTGAAGTACAAAATTCATGTATGTTGTATAATTATGGGATTGATTGATGATTAAGCTACTAGGAGTACATTTCTCCAAACAATTGAGAGATATTATTAAAGTGAGTAAATTTAGTCTTGTTACTTATTATAAATATATAATATAAGTTTGTGTCTATTATATATAATACTAAAAACTATTGGATCAATTAGATTGTAGAATATCCATTCATGTAACTGTAAATTCTACACATTATTGACCTCATAATTCAATAACAACAAATCGATCAAATGACTATTAATCATTCTAATTTACTTGGATTCACTTAATAGTTTCTACTAATTACACTTTTAATTTGCATACTAACATCATAAACACTCAAACCTCTTCAAAATGTTTAATTCTAAATCTTTATTTTTTCCCCTTTAAGTCACTTTTTCTTAAAATAAGTTCGAAACATAAACAAGCGAATTCAGATGGATTGTCTATTATTTATAACGTTATATTTTAAGACTCTAAATTTTACTATTTCCCAAGAAGGTAAGTGATTAAAACCAACAAGATTATACCCAAAGACATCCAAAAAGTTTTAATAAATTTTTAGCCCCTGCTTGCCCCTACAACTATTCAGAGAGAGAGAGAGAGAGAGAGAGAGAGAGAGAGAGAGAGAGAGAGAGGGGTTTAGAGAGAGAGAGAGGGTTTTGACTGCTCTTTGAGACTAGAAATCTTAGAGAGAGAGAGACCAATTGTGAGCATTGTAATCTTCTTCAATTAATCAAAGAATTGTGTGGTATGGCTCCCGAGGACGTAGGCACGTTGACGAACACTACAAGAAATTACATCTTTAACGAAGGGATTTCCCTTCGTTAAAAAGCTGAAAACCTTCGTTATTGTATGCTAACGACGGGGAAAAATCCCTTCGTCACCCGTCGTTGAAGCCCTCTTCGCTAAAGGGTCACGAAGGGATATACTACCCGTCGTTATAGAGTCTATAACGACGGAACATATTACCGTCATTAATATTTACGACGGTAATTATCACCGTCGTTACCATCAGTAACGGGGATATTTTCCCGTCGTTACCATCAGTGACAGGATATTTTTCCCGTCGTTACCATTAGTTACGGGGATATTTTCCCGTCGTTACCATTAGTTACGGAGATATTTTACCGTCGTTACCATTAATTACAGGGATATTTTCCCATCGTTAAAGACTAATTAATGACGGTTGGATACCGTCGTAAAAGTCCTCATAATGGGTAATTAATAACCCATCAACGACGATGCTTTCCCTTCGTTGATGAACCAAATACGATTTATAAAACCGCCATTGTAGATTACAAATTTCTAATATACATTAATAATATTTTTTTCATTCATAGGCAACTATCATATTATTCTCAACCTGACACTAAGATTCACAACAAAAATATATTAAAAATACCCAATAATGAATAAGAGGAAAAATAAAAATTCCATTCATTAATAACATCAATAAATAAAATTCCACCATCCTCAAATATTCAATACTAATAATAAGAGTTAATATCCTAATTGTTCCAAAGAAAAATACATGA